TCTCCTATGTATTCCCTTAAATTTATGTTCATTTTTGAATATTATGGTTATCAAAGTATAATCTATTGGATTTTTTAAGTTATTTGTCCTTAAAATTATCATTAGTTTTTTTGCCATGCGCACTAATTCTTTTTACTTGTTTAACCTTTTCAAATTCCAATTATTTCGGTTGTGATTTCAAATTTCTGCGTCCATTTTGAAGTTTAGGTACGGAGATTTTAGTTTGATATTTTAGCTGTGTTTGTCTGTCTTTCCATGCTAACGCTGTTATTTGCTTCCTTTGGTTATCTCTAAACTTTGCATTATTACGTATACCTCTCCTTCCCCATTTGATTTGGTGTCAACGCATTTCTACTCGGGCTGCCGCTTTTAGTTATAGTTATCCTTTTCTATTCATCGTTTCTTGGTTGAAGATTGGATTAACAGGGCATAGACTCTATTTGTCAGGCGAGAGTTTGGCTTTCGAGGAGGAATTTGGGTTATGATTGTCCGTAGGATTTTTTCTTTGCTTAAACATTTTTCATTTGTAGCATGTATGTTGCAGTTTAATTTTTTCCTCAACATTACAGTTCTTTGTCATTTTGCTTAGTTGACATATCCGTAGCCTTTCACTAAATTAACACTACCTAGCTAGGCCTTCTAGGTCCCCTTTTGTGCACTTTCAATCTAGACCTCCAAACTGGAACCCAACTTCGCTCCTTTTTCCATGCCCCCTCGGGGGCCGACGCCACCCCTTACCGGTCCCCCTCCTCCGGGCGGAAATCCTGCTTGTCGAATGCAGTCCGCTGTCATGCCAATGTCTTCGGCGCCTCAGCATCCTGGCCATCTCGGTCCACCACCGCCACCGCCACCACACGCCCAAATGCACCCAGGTCCTATGATGCTTCCAGTAGGCGCCTCTGGCGGAGGTCTTCCTAGTGGTCTCCCTGGCATCCATTACGCACCTCACGGACCTCTCCCACCTGGTGGTCCCATGCCTGGAGGTCCGGACAGACCGGATCATGGTATCCCGCAGATGCCAACAGGACAACAACCACAACTCGGCGGGCCCATGATTCAACATCATCACGGGCCTCCGCCTCCACAACCCGGCGCTATGGGGGTTCCTCCGATGCCACCTCATCAACAAATGCCTCCGGGACCAATGCCTCCTCACAGTCACCCACACCATCTCCATCATCCTGTTCATGCCCCTTTACCGATGTGAGTTACACTGTTTAGTCATTGACTCCATTATTCGAATTGCTACCTGTAGCATGCAGCTTCCATTTTTTCATAGTCACTTTTCTTCACTTCTTTTCGTACAAAGATTCGTTAGACTT